CACACCGTGTTGTATACTTCGGATTTATTGTAGGAGCCTACTACTTTCAACCGAAGACATTTCTACAACCGGAACACAGCAGCTACAGCAGACGCAGTCCAAACAGTTAACGTGCCTGTGGATTATATAATTAATTTGTAGCGAGGACTTATACTTTATAACCAAGTAATCCTTTTTGTTGCTATAACTCGTCACTGTATTTTTGGTAATATATTGTGATTTAACACTCCACTGACTTGGATTATTACTTTTATATTTGGAATGTTAGTGAACTCTAATATTAGTCCCCTACAGATCAGGTTGAAAAAGAGCGAGCGGTGATCAAACCAAAACATGGCTTCATCATTCAAAAAAGCCTGTAACAGTTAGTTTAAGTCAGCCACTTAGAGAGGCTTAGACAACCTGACTGGTTGAGGTCCTTCGGATGGTAAGAACAAATGAAGGCTGAAGACAATCGGTGATATGGCTCAAAATCCTACTCGATGATGGCGCAGATGCATCCACTCCTTGCGACTTACAATATCCAAATAAAACTAGATTGTTCTCCCATACTACTATTCTTTTTGTCTCATATCTCCGTTTACTTTCTCTATTTTGAATTTCTTTTACTTTGTTCTCTTGCCTTGAGTGCTAAATGAAGTGTAGCAACTCAAACTGTTGCACACATGTGCAACAGTTCTACGTTGAAACCAGTCAGCCAGTCGGTTAGATACTAGGGAACCGACACGAACACTGGAAATTTACAGCTGGGGCCTGATATTCCACTAGGAGTACATGCAAGTTCACTCAGTTAGCTAGTCAGAAAGTGGATGGTTTGAATTGATTCAGCGCTGTCTGAATTGAGTCAAACCGCATACACCGCTGATGAACTGGGTACCAAACGAGAGAAGCGGCCATCTGGTGTTTAGATCACTTCAATCTTGCAGGTCAGTAAGCACCACTGATTAATGTGAGTGATATCCAACTACTTATTTCTGTCGATCAGTAGTATCTAGAGTCATGCATTTATGATTCTTACAGTGATTACTTTATACCATAGTTCACCATTAGGGTTCTGAAATTATTATAAATATAACCGTAGAGATGGTTGGATAATCGAATAAACTTCTAGATAAGCAATTGTTTCTATGGTACCATGGGAAAATTAATTGGTAAGGGGATCAGATTAAGTAACGCTCTTCAGAAACCATTCCTGAATGAAAATAGAACAGAAACCGTGTGTAAACAAAGAGTTATTCTGATCCCCTTTTTAGGTATGGCAATCAGTGAATATATGCTTTTTACTCTTTTGCCTTGAGAATGTGGAGTATTGGGACTCAAAATCTAAGCTTTGAAGTTTTAGCAGAGGTAATGTTGTTCTGCTTCTATTTATGTCCATACCTTCCTTCTTTCCCAAGCTTGCTACCAACTAGTCCACCAAGTTACGTTTAAGAGGATTGAGTTGGTGGGGAATGGAACCCCAGACCACAGCCGCTGCTGACGAGCATTCTACCACTGAATAACAATCACAATGATATTTCCACTCGTTAAACTGAGGGTGATATGTATCCATATAATATGTGTGTTTTGTTTGACAGTCATAGTCTCTCGGTGTTTCGCTATGGCTCGTACAAATCAGACTGCTCGCAAATCAACCGGAGGAAAGGCCCCAAAAAAGCAGCTGGCCACCAAGGCTGTCCGTAAGAGTGCACCAGCTACCGGTGGTGTTAAGAAACCACACAGATACAGGCCTGGAACCGTCGCCCTACGTGAAATCCGTTGTTAACAGAAGAGCACAGAATTGTTGATTCGCAAATTGCCCTTCCAACGTCTCGTCCGTGAAACTGCTCAGGACTTTAAGACTGACTTGCGTTTCCAGAGCTCAGCAGTTTCTGCTCTGCAAGAAGCCAGTGAAGCCTACTTGGTTGGTCTCTTCGAAGACATCAACTTGTGTGCCATCCACGCCGAACGTGTTACCATCATGCCAAAGGACATCCAGTTGGCTCGTCGCATTCGTGGTGAGCGGGCTTAGATGTTTGTCGGTTAGGAACCCAGAGACAATGACTGTCAAACAAAACACACATATTATATGGATACATATCAGAGGGTTTCCAGTAATAATCTCAGACAGATAAATGATGCCTTTAAATCACCGAAAATACCCATTGAGCCATGAAGAATATAAAAGACAGTTCTCAAGTATTGGTTTCGTAGGGATTTTTTTGTTTTGTTTGATTGGCTGGAGGATTTCATCGTGTGCTAACATCGATTAGAGGTCCATTGAAAACTAGCTGGGAGAACCGAACAGCTGTTACATAAGCCTAGTTTGGGACTCTTTAACAGTGCTCACCCACCTCCAGATTTCGAAGCCAGGACCTTCTGTTTACAAGGCGAGCTCGTAGACCATTAGACCACTTGGACTAGAAGGTCCCGGGTTCGAACCCTGGCGGTGGGTGCGTACTATTGAAGATTCCCGAACTAGACTGTCGAAACAGCTGCCCAGTATTCCCAGATTTTCCAATGGTTCCCTCACTGTTGTCAGCTCACTGATGATGAAATCCTTCAACCAACAAAAGACAAATTCAGTGGAGAAAATTTCTTTATCGACGAAATCATCTTCACAGGCTGTACAGTCGTATTTATATTTACCAAAAATTGTATAGTAGTCTATTATTGATTAATAAAGGGTGGGTGATATAACTAATATAATTATTCAGAATTGGCTTTAAAAGGCAAAATAAAAGCTGTAAATTACTTAGCACTCAACGCCACAAGGGAAGAAAGCGTTAGAAATTTGACAAGGTTGAAATTGTTATTGAGTGAGAATAAAGGTGGTATGTGAGTGTCAATTTAACAAGTATGAAGAGGGTGAGAAAATATGCAAAAGGAGCATATGAGAGTGATAATAATGAATTAACTATTAAAGTAAGAGAAAACTAAAAGTAAAATTGAAAATTAAATTTTTTACAGGGAACGACTAGCGAAGAGGTTCAGACTATGGTAGAATAAGAGAGTGCACAAACTTTTTCTGTAAACACAGAGTTCGGGGTTGTTTTGACGAATCGCCAACATCTCTGGTATGTACAAATGCCGAAACTTAACGCCCTTTGTACCACTTAGCCTCACCTTGTAGATATTCTTGAAATACAACTCTGGTGGAGCAAAGAGGCTTGAGTTCACCAACTGCTCGAGAACTGAACTGATAATTATCTTGTATTGTCCACTTGCTAACTAACCATGCCGGATAATATTCAGAGATGCGTTTGGAAAGTGTGTGCGCTTTGTGCGGCCAATGTAGTTAGCGCTATCGGAACAAGTGAATTTATCAACACTCAATGAAGTGGCCCAAAGCGGTAGTTTATTCATCACACATATATTGATCACTTGTCAGCTGTGAAAACTGATACGTAGCTTAGCCGCAAAGAAGGCTTTCCTCAGTGATCTGCATAAACGATTTTTCACGATCTCAGCTGCGGTATCACTTTTAAATTCAGCATACATGAATAGCAGTTTCTACGGAACAGTTTGGGTTCTTTCATGCCTTAGCTTTAACTTCATGTTCTTCTCGATAAATCTTGAAGGATGTCCATATTCCATGAGGACTTGTCTGAGTCTCTCCAGTTCACCATCGACTGCGTCATATCCTTCTTTTTCTTGAGCATAGGGAGTGCATCACATTTCTCATTCTTCTCAAAGCGACCTGTGGTGATTGACTATTTCTATCTCTGTATTGTTTAAATACTTACTGTTGATTGTTAATATTTCTTATATGAATTGCATAATAATTCCGCTAAATACAAATTCCTGAATTCCGCCCTCTCTGTGTTTTGGTTGGATTCGTGTAATTCGGTCATCTCGAAATACTAATACTACGACTAAAAATAAATTACTACAAATTGGCGTCGCGATGGAACTAAATAACCTGGGAAAATTTCCTATTAATGGGTCTCCGCGGGAGATTGCTGATTATTTGGAATGCTTCGATGCGTGGTGCATTTCAAAGAATGTTCGGGATGACAAAATACCAGCACATTTCATCACTGCTATTGGGCTAGATGCGTATAGCCTAGTAAAGACTCTGTCGTTTCCAGATAAACCTATTTCTCTGTCATATGTCAAGATTCGTGAACTTCTGATAAATCACTTTCATGTAACTACATTTGAGACCAGAGAGAGGGCTCAATTCAACAAACTGGTTCGTGCTCCCAACCAGAGGATTAGAGACTTTATTCTGCAACTCCAAATACAAGCTTCAAAGTGTAACTTTGGAGATCAGCTGCATACTCAACTACGTGATCGTCTAATTGCTGGAATCAATATTCCTAAGTTAGAGAAAGAGTTAATTCAGATTCCTTCTTGTACCTTTCAAACTGCTAAAGATTTATGTATTACATATGAAGATGTCAATAATGAATACTCTGCTCCCACTACGTCAGTATCTGATGTTATGCTTTCTAAAGTCGAAAATACAAGTGGTCATGGAAAGCAATCCAAACTGCCGTCCACAGGTAATAGAATGCAGCGAGAGATCAAAAACATTAAACCGTGTTTTTCCTGTGGAAAGTTACATCTACGAAGCACTTGCCGTTTTCGGGGTGCTAAGTGTCACAAATGTGGTAAAGTTGGACACATCAAGACGGTTTGCAGAAGTTCGAATACTTATGTTGCTCACAATTCTTATAATTCTCCCAATCTGTCTAGTAAAATGGAGTCAATGTGTCTTTCAACTTTTCAAAATACTCAATCTCATCCAATGAAAACCTCCACTACAAGTTCAGCAACTCAAGTGTCAACTGTTTTCAAAAATGAGGTAGCTGAGTTACAATGCGAACTGTCGAAAACACGAAAAAACTGAATGAGATGAGAGAGCAACTGATTAAAATGGAGGAATTGCTGCATATGCATAGACTGCGTCTGTTGAATGCAGAGCATACAAGTACCCGTGAAAGTCCTGCAAAACTTTTCAAATCTCGAATTCTCAAAAAGCATCTGATGTCCACGACTTCTAATGTACATTATTACAAAGGGAATGACTATAGACCTTCTGTTGGAATTATACTACAAAAAATGGGAAATCGAGTGGTGAAGATATTAGACATCAAAGATCACTCAGTTCATAACAGACACCTGGACAAAGTGACAATAAATGAAGTAGGTCGTTCCAATTATTATTTTAATGATTCCGCTAATAATCCTGATTTTGTAGATAATTCAGAAATAAGTCCAGATAATACTGATGAAAATGATATCACAGAATCAGTTAGAAGATCGCAGAGACTTGCAAGCAAACCGCGACATCATTATAAATACGCAAGGAGACATTCGACGTGTGGCGGATGTGGTGATTGACAATTTCTATCTCTGTATTGTTTAAATACTTACTGTTGATTGTTAATATGTTTCTTATATGAATTGCATAATAATTCCGCTAAATACAAATTCCTGAATTCCGCCCTCTCTGTGTTTTGGTTGGATTCTTGTAATTCGGTCATCTCGAAATACTAATACTACGACTACAATAAATTACTACACGACCCAACTATGAAAATCCATGTATTGGCCATGCCATGTCGGTCTCCTGTTTGACTGATCTCTGAACAGAACCTTCAGATCTCCTTTTTAGCAAAACATTCAAAAATTGAAGTTTCGAGTTCATCTCTGATTCCGTCATGAACTGGATGGCATGATGGCAGTTATTGAACTCCCTAGTTATCATTTTGATGTTGGTATTCTTTTCACATATGATAAAATTATCATCCATGTATCTTTGGTACATATGGAAACTATCGACAGTGGGTCAAACTTGCCAAGAAGCAGTCTGCAGGTAAGGGTCTAATAGTGACCCCATCGCCTTTTTTATATTATTGAGTAATTCAGACATTTTTACACAGAAGCTTTAATTGTTACCTAGAGATCCAAGTTATCACATTATTAGTATAACTATACTATAAGGCAAGACAAAAAAGTTAATGCAATTTAGTCAGCATGATATTACTTTCCCGGAACTTTAATAGTTTCTAAGTTTCCTAGCTATAGGTTCATACGGTTATGCAAGCCTACATTCTAAAAGTTCACCTACAGAAAAAAAACTTCCCCTGGATAGTACCTTCACCACAACAACATCTGTTTTCAAGTATTGGTTTGTAGGCATTTGATTGATTAGTTACAGGATTTCATCACGAGCTGAGATCAGTTAAAAAGCCATTGACAAACCTACAGGGAACACTGGACAGCCATATCTCTCGTCCTAGTTTGGGACTCTTAATCAGTACGCACCCACCACCAGGTCTCGAACCCAGGACCTCCTGGTCACAGTGCGAGCTCTCAGACCATTAAGCAGTCACTGGGACCCGATCTAATGGCCATCCATAAATCCTAAATTCTGCCTGCCAATTTACGATATAGCGCGACTAGCGGTCAGTATTTGTCCTCACACCCGACCTGCTGCACCCAAATGGTCACAAATTCCCATCAGAAACTAGGTAACTACATACCTGAATAGGGCCAGTCGCTGATAAGCATCTCATCAATATTCTTTTTGTCAGCTTTGAGGGCATGAATTAGTGAGGATACTCTATGACAAACAGATCCAAGAAACTTTGTGCGGCCAACAAACTGAAAGATGAATGAAGCTTTGTAAAGAAAGGTCCAAAAGAGAATAAATAGCCTTGGAGATATATATTCTGAAATATAAGGATGAAAAAGTCGTGCAAAGGCAACATCAGACTGTCAAGAAGAAGAAAGTCCTTATTCGTTTTCCATTCAAAAGACCAACATGATCTCACAAGACTGACAAAAAATAATAGAAAGAAGATTTGAAAAAATGATTCCCTTATGATGCCAAAACCCAATCTAACCGAATAAATACCCTTCTGAGATGTCACCTTCAACAGCGTTTATATATGTACATACATTTGCGGCAACAATTAGACCGGAGAAACAGAAATAAGGCCATTTGTCCAGTTTTCTTGGCATATTTCAAGAAATATATGCCCAAAGGGGGAGCAGATAGTTATATAAATTGCAATTGCCAAACACTTCATAGATACGGAACATTTTCTTAAGATGTCTAAATCCTTCAAACTATTAAATATGTAAAGGACACCAAGTTTACTACGGCTTTCAGTCAATCTTATGCATTCAGAAGGACAATATGACCAATCTCTCATTCCCTAAACAGCAATATCTTGATTTTTGACTGTATAATCTTTTAAATGAGTGATTCCAGTTGGTTCAGGCAGTTCCAAGCTTATGAACTGTAATTTGCCTGAGTTGTTGCGTTATCTCGTCAAAAAACTATGTCCAAGAATTCTGCACTAAACAATACGGATTAAACTAATAGCAAACAGCTTAGTGAAATGATTTCTCAGTTTTGAATTATCCATTCTTCGATTACTTGCATTGTAGAATTATAGCTCATCGGTCGAGAATATAAGAATAAAACCCAGCTGAGCCAGTTAGACAAAATAATATAATTTACAAAATACCTTGAAATGACTGTAAGGTCAAACTAGTATATCGGGCGGGGTAGTTAGATTGTTGGAACACAAGAATTTAGCTAAGGTAAGAATGATTGACCCCACCCAAGAAGATAAGTAATTTAGAAAAAATCTCAGCACCAATTGCACTGCATGCATTAACACACAACCACACAATAGGGTGACAGAGGGTTAAAATTCTAAGAAGTAATATAGATGGATGGACAGAGGGAGAGAGAGAGGTTGATTATTGAATCCTTGTTCAGTAAGACTACACCCAGCACATGCAATAGGAATGACTCATTACTCATACCAGAAATATGCATTGATCTAGAAGCCCGATTTCTATATAATACCTCTTCACCTGATGAAGTGTATGCAAGCAGATAGTGCCACTAGCTCTCCCCAACCCTCAATTAATCGGTTTGGCTCAATGTTAACTTCATATAACTGTTGAGTAGTAAGTACGATTAGTAAATTGATAACTCTAGGCCTTATCTTTGTCTTCTGTTAAACAAAACCAGTGTCATCTGCATAATCTAAAGCAAGTAAGATGGGACCTGTAAAGACGTCACAGGCTGAAATCATACCTTGGTGTAAGATTTTGGTCAAATTTTAAGTGGTTTAATATGGTCGGGGTGTTAGTTAAGGAGGAAAGTACACTGATGAGATTGTGTGACTACATCGGTTGAGATGACCAGCTTATGTGTTGCACTTGCCAAACTATCTCCTTCCCAAGCGAACAACATTAGCCGACATGAGATTAGTTTGGAAAAACCAAGACCTGGCATCAATCCATAAAACCTTTGACTTTTGCTTTGAGCTAGCCTCTTAGGGAGGTGTGAACTGCTTGATTGTGGTCCTCAAGATGCTAAGATCTAGTGGCTTTAAGACTCTCAGTGATATGACTCAAAATCGGGCTTAGTGTTGCAGATGCATTCACTCTTTACGAACTTCCAGAGCCATCAAATCTTCGTGTTTTTCCATGTAATTATTCTTTCTCTCGTGCGTTTCATTTCATTATAGCTCCTTTTAATTTATATTTTTCCTTACCTTTTGGTGCCACATAGAGTTGAGCAAATTGAACTGCTGTACTTCTGTGTAAGGTTCTACTTTGAAACTCAGTCAGTCAGATAGTCATGATCAAAGTACTCCGTCGATATGAATATACCTTAGCATTGATATCCCGACAGCAGTAAAACACTAATTTTTAGAGGAGCCTAAGTTAAGTGCAGTAAAGTGGGGTTTTTGTTAAGGTTGATGAAAATGCAACAGGGAAGTTTGCTGAAAATGCATCAGTCATTTAGTATTGTTCAAAAAGTCCCTACGATTTAAAAGCTTCCCTCAGAATTTTCCAAAATGCTCCTAAAACTTTCTTAAAATATCTTCATAACTTTCGATTTCACTTTTTCATGAAACACATTATCGTTCAGTGTTAAACTGCTTGTTGTTGATAGGAAAGAATTGTTTATGAAGTCAGTGTATAAAAAATAGAAACTTAAAGTACTGAGAATATTTGAAACCTCTCAAGACTTTTATCAGCAAACGTCTATTAGATCATGAGAACAGTTAGTCGTTGACTTCCTACACTTCTATAGGATTTTATATTCCCATATAAGGCTTATAGTTCAATATCCCTCCCTACTGGTAAGGTAGGTGACACAGCTGAATCAGATGCAGGAAAATCCGTAAAATTCTTACTGATTACTATAGCCCTCAGACTACAAACCACAGATAGCCATTGATGTCATTGATGACTTCCTAAAAATGATAAAAACCATGACTTACAGTTAACTAGTATTCTTACAGCTGTCTAACTTTAATTCTGATAAGTAATAAGGGTCAGATGGACCAATTAAGGCTTAGAAGATTTTAGTCCCATGCTCTGCCGAATATTTCCCAACTATCGTCCAGTCATGTTGATGCGTATTGTAGAAAACCACAAGAGGTCAAATCTAGTCTCATACGGTAAAATGTGGCTCATTGCAGGAAGAGAAGCACGGCTTTGATGTTCAGCAAAAGCACTCGATGAAATATCCTATTTAAACTTATTATGAGGATCAAATGCCATCTCACATGACTCAGGCAAACAAATAAAGTAAAAGACGAAAGTAAACGGAGTATTCTGTGGGAAAAATTGTCACCAGTGAGGTTTTGCACTGCACTATTCTAGAGCATTTTATTATTATCAATATATACTAACGGAATAAAAACAATTCTACACCCACCATCTTTATTGCGGATGACAACAGCTTTGGAAGGTCACCGACAGTAGCTCAGATAAGTCAGCTTTGCAAACTGAGTTGGATGGATTGACTAAATGGCTGAAACACAGAAGTCTACAAATCAATTCCACCAAAAGTAATACGACATGCCTAATATACCTACCTAACTTGACTGTTTCTATGGATAATGTATAGCCGTATTATGCTCGATGGCAGAAGGATTTAGAAGTCATGATCAACTATATATCAAGAAATTTAGAATTTTATAATACAGCCAGAACAAGGGCGTTGAAAGTGCTTTAAATGCCTTAAAAGGGTTTCAAGTACTCAGATATCTGAGCTGATTTCTTGCAAATTATGTTTGACTTCATCTTGAATACTATATACAGAAAGTTAATTCCGACTTCATAGAGGTATAGAGGAAAGGCTGGTAAGGAAAATATCCTACTCTTACTTTCTAGAAGGGAAAGACAAGTCCAAACGCTTTTATTATCGTATTGTAGGAGTAGAGACAATTCTAGTTTTGAGTATTTTATTTTAAATGGTAAAGAAGATGTTGCCCTTTCTAGTAGTTTACCCCGCTAAGTCATATTTTAAATAAATCACAAGAGAAGGTCAAATAGACCATTAATGAGACTCACTTCTCAAAAATAGTGCTCAC